CCCCCCCCCCATGGGTTCAGTCTGCCTTCCCCTCCCTGCCCCTCCCTGGGACCACTGCCACCCTCTAGCTTCAGCAGGGCCCGGGTGTAAGCGGAAAGCTGGGGGTCAGGCACTTGTGCCCTATGGCATCTCAGGGGTGGGGCACGGCAACAGGGAGGTCGCTCTAATTATGGGGCAGGGTCTCTAGACACCTGTGAGGCTCTGTGCTGGCCCCACAAGTATCCCTGTGCCCAAGGGAAAATGACAGTAAAAACCAAGAGGAGTTGAGAGAGATGGTGGAATAAAGCATTTCCATTCTTAGTACCTTTACAGGTACTCTTTCCTGACTTTTGAACTGGGTGCCCATATTTTCAGTTTGCACTGAGCCCTGACCCCACCCCTTCTCTGACACATCCCAGACAGTACGTCCCAGAGGCAGTGAGGTCTGAGTCAGGCTGGGAACGTCACTGAGCTCAGAGCCTGCCCTGTCCCAGGGGACAGGAAACCCAGAGTGGATATGGCCCCAGGCTTGTCTGATGCCCTGGTGTGACCTCCAGGGCTGGGGACCGCCTCCACACTGACCCCTCTGTGCATCCATCCAGGAACCTGATTCTAAATCTCTTTGCAGTGACCTCTGAGGAGACAAGCTGGGAAGAGTCACTGAGCAGGTTAAGCAGAGGCCCCACGTTCAAACCTCCCTCTGCTCTCTGGTCCAGGGCCAGGTGGGGGTCAGTGCCCAGAACCTGGGCAGGCCTGAGCAAGAGGAGGCTCCCCACCCTGGGTCCCATTCCCTCCCAAGACGCTAGTTCTTCTGGTCCAGCCAGTTGGGGTTCCTCCCTGAAACTCTCCCACGCGGCCAGGGCCTGCAGGGCCTCCTGCTTCTGAGCACACAATAATAATAGTATCACCAGCTGGCCTTCCTCCACCACTCAAGAGATAGGGGTTTTCAGACCCATTTGGCAAAGTTCAGAGAAGGAGACACAGCTGTTTGAGGTCACACAGCAGGAGGATGGCAGAAGCAGGATTAAAATTCCGGACTTGATACTTTGCCCACTGCCTCAGTCCACCTTTATTATAAAACAGGCACCTCAGAGGCTCAGAGAGGTGAAGACACTTAATACAGGGTCACACAGCAAACTATAAGTGGGGCTGGGATTCCAAGGCTGGGAGGCAGGGGCCAATGCTGAATGACCTCACAAGGAGTCATTCACTTTCTCTCTCAGCATGATGCCAAGTGACCCCACCTGTGTGACAGAGGTGGTAGTCATTGTTGGAAATGGGGGTGCAAAACAGGGTCTGGGAAATAGATAATATCTTTACGAACATAGCCGCTATTTTTACTGCTGTAGATAAATCTTATCTATGAGCCAGGAAAAACAGTAACTTTGACATAATGTAATACAATATAATAAATATAATAGATAATATAATAATATATAATATATAATAATATAATATAATAATATAATATAATATAAGCAGTCACATATATTTGCCAGGATATGGGGATGCTTAGTCATTTTGTGGCTTGCACAGTGCTCTTGTTAGTTCCTGTGTTTAGACACAGCCATGCAGTGGTCCTGACTGTCTCACTCCATCCCAGTCAGTGTGGCCTTGTCTGACTGTAGGGTCTCTGCTGGTGTGTCACAGAACACCATGACCTCCCTGTGAGTGCTAGTCCAACTCCAGCCCAGCTGTCAGGGGCTGCCTTTCTCTTTCTTACCTGGAAAACTGCCCAGTTCCCTCACTGGGCTGCTGGCCCTCTCTCTTCCCCCTTCTAGAGTCTTTTCCTTTTTTACACAGAGGTCACAGAGACATTTTTCTTTCTTTCTTTAATAATAATGTACATTCAGTGAAGTGATAGGTACACAGCTTGGTGAGTCTTTACATATTTGTACACATGTGTAACTACCACCCACATGAAGATTGTGGGGGCTTCTCACCATTGCTCCTTTGGGGCAATGCCCAGCCCAAGGTAACCCCTGCTGAGATTTCTCTCACTACTTAGTTTTGTCTGTTCTAGAACTTCATTTAAATGGAGTTACAAGGCATATTTTATTTGTTTAAGGCTTCTTGAGCTCAACATAAGGTTTTTGAGATTCATCCATGTTGCTGAGGCCATTTGTTGGCTTTTTCACTGCTGTGTAGTATTCCGCAGGATTAGTGAACCACTCTTTTTCCATTCACTTCTTGATGGACATTTGCTTCCCAGATTGAACATATTAGAAAGTAAATCTGATTGTGTCCCAAGCTGATTGAGACCCTCTCAGTGGTTCTCCACCTTTCTCAGAATGAATTCAAATCCCTTCTCAGGGCCTGTAATGACCTAAATGATCTGCCTCGCTTTCCACCCTTCTCCCTCACCCTCTGAGCTCCAGGCGCACCGCTCTCCTGAGTTTCAATGGTTCGTGCTACTTCCCACCTCTAGGTCTTTGCCCCTCTGCTCCCTCTGTAATGCTCTCTGCCCCCCCCC